CAGCGAAATAAAGAGAGCGAGTCTGGACAGAGAGAAAAAAGTGTATTATATAATAAATATAATATTTATTATATAATATATTATATTAATATTATATTATATTGTTATAATATATTATAAAAGTATATTATATTAATGTATGCGTGTGTATACTATTTAATTTTATTTTATATTAATGTATAGTGTATGTATATGTATACATACACACTCAGGAGTAAGCCCCATTGGATTCAGTGACGCTTACTCCCAGGTAAGAGATTTCAGGCGAAAGAAGGGAAATATGGGGCAATGTAGGCATCTTTCAGTCTTGAGAGACTATGGTAAGAATATTTTTTGGGGGGGTGGGGAGGCGGAGATCCAGAAAAGTGGCTGTGTGTGTATTGACAGGTTAATTCGGATTGCAAGCCTGCCTTGCCCAATGTTCCCCATCAATTCCTATTACAGCGTTCTGCCATTTAACTTGTGATGGGTAGATTAAAAATAGAAACACTATTCAGAGAGTGTTAAACAAATGTCAGTATGAAAATGTAAATGAGATTGCTTTGGAGGTCAGTGCTGTTTGCTAGATCTTCCTTTTGTGCAGGTGGAAGAGCAGGAATGGCAGGCAGGTAAATAAATGCGGCAGAAGAATGTCTTGGAAATGTCTGGATGAATGAGGACCAACTTCAAGTAGTGGCTCCTAGGAGGAGAGCTCGCTCTTTCACAGACATCTCACGGCCAGCTGTGAAATGGTTTCTAAAAGTTGAAAAGAAAAACTGCTGGCTCAAGACTCCCTATTAAACAGGGTCTGAGTGGCAGAACACAAAACCACTCTTTAAAATGCTTAGTTTCCTTCCTTAGCACTAATTTTACAGAAGGCAACTGGTGAGGCTTCAAATCAAGTAATTTAGCCCAGAAGCTGAGGATAGGTCCAAGGTGAGGTCTGAACTAAATGATATAATGTACTGTAACATAACACATATTTAATAAAAGGCAAAGTGGTATAGACACACTAGGAAAGCAGCCACCACATGGCACACCGGACCAGCCGGCAAAGCACGCATCCCCATCTCACTCTTCTCCCTTACAACAAAGGTAAACTACTGCTTCATAGCCACAATCTAATCCCTAGGATGCTCTCTGTCACCCTTTAGCCTGTTTTTCCCCCTTGGATATACTTCAGAACAAAGCCCTGAGTCACAGCCATCTCTGATTTGTATTTTGAAAGACTGCCTCTTCGGCCAGTGTGTATTTTCAAGAAGCATTCTTGGAAATAACGGTAGCTCTAGAGTGCCTTTCTTCGGAACCTGCCAGTCCCCTGTTCATTATTATTTTTTTAAATCAAGAGAGGTTTGCACACCCCAAAGAAAGTATGCAGCATGTGTGTGTTTCCTTAGGGAGTAGGAGAGGAAGATGGGATAGATTTAATAAATGAATCAGCTACAGCGTTGTACACTGGGTTGGGGGTGAGTGATTTAGTTGATTCGAGGTATGCTTTCTGGCACTCTTGATGGTTCCTTAATATATGCCTCTGAAATCCTAATTTTTCCCCCTAAGCAGTATCATGCAGCCCACAAGACCCCCTTTTGGGGGCAGTGGTCCTGTCCGCATGCCTCATGGTGACTATGTATCGGAGTCTCCACTGCAGCCACGTGGGGTTGAAGATGCTGTTTACAGTAGGGGAAGAGCTTTGCCTTCAGCTGGCAGGATGCAGGCAGTTCCGGAGCCATTACATCGGCCAGCAGGACGTGGACAGGTAAATATGCAACATTTACAATAGCAGTTTCCAGCACAGGTATTTCCTTTGTAAAAGAATTGGTTGCTACAGGCTGGGTAAGCCATTGTTCTTTATTCTGTTGGTTCAGATGCTGTGGACACGGTTGTTTCATTAGGACTGCTGAGCGCGCTAGTGGAATGGAAAGGGATTTACTTTCCCAAATCAGGGAGTTGTATTATTAATATTACTGTTATTATGAATATTATTATTATTGTTAATATTAGTAAGAACTGTTCAGCAAACACTTACAACACAGGGAAGCAAAAGCAATATCAGCCTGAATATCTTGTGTGTTTTGTAGACCAAAAAGGCTGGGACTGGTTAGTACTTGGCTAGGAAACCAGTGGGGAAAACTAGAGATCACCAGTTTAGGCAAGGAAAAATCCTACCTGAATCCCTGGAGAGCAGATGCTAGTTCGAATCAATAATCCTGTGCCAGTCAGTCATAATAAACTTCAAATAGGGCTGTTGTCCGGAACAGGCAGGAATGTATTTAAGGTGTGATCCCAAAATGGCACGTTGCTCCTCAAATCCAATTAAGGTCAAGGCAGAGAAGACATGGCATCGAGCACATAGTTATAAGGTATTTTGTTTGTCTTACAATTCTTTCTGTCTCAGATTTTCTGTTGTGTTTTTCCAGTTATCATGAGCGCCTGCCAAAATTCCTTTTCCTATCGCAGTCAATTTGATACAGAATCACAGCTGTATTTGTTGTCAGCTTTTTGTCATGTCTGAAAGACCTCATTTGTGTTCACTTTGCGTTTTGGAAACAAAATGGTCTACCGCAGTGTTCCTTGCTGCATTTGAGAGATGAAGAACTTCACTTGCTAAATTGTGTCCTTCAGCAAAATTCTGTTTCAGTTTTCAAGAGTGCATTTTTCTCATGCCAGCTATTCCAGCTGATATTGCTCTTAACGAAAACTCCACTGTGTGTGTCTTCTATTTTAGGAGTCTTCCAGTCTACCTTCCATGTTCCGAGGACTTGGTTTTGAGACCATTCCTAGGCCTCTTTTAGGTGAGTTAATCTGGTTGTATGGGAGATTGTTCCATGTGGTTCAGTATCTATATTTTAGTGACATCTGAGTCTAAGAAGAACTTCAATTTTACTTTGACCTTCTTGTAAAAAACTTTTTGATCAGGTCCAGGAGTTTTTGGCAGAGGAATATGCGACATAGTGACCAAACCTGGTATGGTGTTACCAGCACAGCAAAGCCCACAATCCACAGTCGGGCCAGCCGGAGACAGCAAGGTGGAGAGGACAGTTTTGGGACGTGCCAGGTGAATAAAGTGGTTCAGAGGTGAACATTTAGTTGAAGGTAAAGGTTCCCCTTGACCATTTGTCCGGTCGTGTCCGACTCTAGGACATCCCCGTCTCCAAGCTGTAGAGCCAGCGTTTCTCCGAAGACAATCTTCCGTGGTCACATGGCCAGCGCAACTAGACACAGAATGCCGTGACCTTCCCACCGTGTTGGTACCTATTTATCTACTCACATGCTTTTGAACTGCTAGGTTGGCAGGTGAACATTTAGCCGTGTATTAATTATTTGGTGACATTGAGTTAGGTTTGTATATCGCTTGGCCTAGCAGCCAAATGAGCTTAGTGATTTAGGAGGTAAACATTTTCAAGGAGAGGTTTTAATCTCAAAATAGTTGTGGCCGTTGGTTTAAACAGAAAGGTGGTGTGTCCGTGAAGTGATGATCTGCAGGTGAAGCCCATGCTGGATCTGAGGAAGAAGGCTCTGATTTGAGTCTCTGTTATGATGAAAATGTGTGTTGGGCTGTTCACCTATATTCTTCCACCCCCAAAGACCACTGTTTTCTAAAGCAAATGAGCCAATGCTGGGTGTAGAATGCCAGTTAGGCTCCTTAAGTTTTCCAAGCAGCAAGAAGGTACATAGTAGCAAGCCGACTCTGTTTTTGTTTTTGTTGAAGGTCAACAAATAATGGTGTTCTGCACTTCCTTTGTATTGTGCATTTGAAAGTCTTTTTTTGTAACATTTTGGTATGCAATGCATTTAACAATTCTTCCCTTATTTGTTTATAGAATAGTACTATGTGGTAGATAAGGTACACTGCATGGAGAGGGAGGAGTTGCTATCGAACAATAATCAGGCTTTTTTTGCTTTACAAGCAAGTCCCTATGCAGTTTGAAACTTGGTAAGGAAACCCTGTTTTTCTGTTTCCTTTTTTTTTTTCCTTATTAAAATGTGTGTACAGGATACCCGGTCGTGGGGAAACTGGAATGTCTCCTTTGGGGCTTGGAAGAGCAGCCGTCGGGCTTGGCAGGGCCTTTCCAAACTTCTCTTTCTTGAATTCAAGAACACTGCAGCCAGCATCACCTTTGGAGCAGCCCAAACAAGAGATTCCTTCAACAGTGTCTGATGAGCAGATGGAGAAAAGGCAAGTGAGAAATGATGGGTGTTTTTTTTAAGGAGTCAGAGTTAGTGGTATGGGTAGTTTCTGATACAACAGCAGTTAACTTTGGGTATTTTGATAATGTTATATGTGTTTAAGGGATTTATAAGCTGCCTTTCAGCGTCATGCCATCCTAGAGCAAAGTACAGGGTCAGGCAAAAAGAACCTCCTGGATTTTGCTTAACTATGGGTCCAGCCCTAGTGAAATGGAGCAGGTCGTAGTGGGGTCTTTCAGTAGCCTGTGTCTTACCATTTTCAGTTGCCACCATGGCTTGGACGAGTGTGCACCATGAGTTTGTCATTGAAGCGTTTATCGAAAAAAACGAATCTGATTGTCATGCAGAGGGATTTTCATATCCACTTTGCACTCGATTGAAATGCTCCTGTTCTAAATCAAAAAACCGTATTGCTGTGGGTTGAAAATTTCAGGCCCCCAGGTTCTCTGGAGCAATCTGAAAGTGGGGGTGTACAAAAATCAACCAAGAATTAGTGATGAATTGAAGGTTACTATATGCCAAGATATTGCAGCAGTACCACCGCAGGCGACCCACCACGTGATGCAGAGTTTCAAAAATTGACTACAAATGTGTATTGCAAACGAAGGCCAGAATCTGGACAATGTCATTTTCAAACCTACATGAAAACAAACTGTGTTCCATGCACTTTTAGATTACGTAATAAAATTTTGAATCACATTTACCATACCTTTTTTTTGTTGATCTTTAAAATCTGAGAGTGTTTTTTACCTCACCCTGTACATTACAAGAATAGTAAATTAGAACATAGTAATAGGTGGACATTAGCAGAGGAAGAAAAAACTGATATGCTTGTTCTTAGCATGTGAGCCGTTTTGTCAGTTAAATGCAGTGTTAAATGAGGAGGATTTAAAGACATGTCTGGATGATTTGTGCAGTGGAAGAGAGGTGTAATTCCATCTGGATAACATTTCAAATTTGAATGATCTACATCTAAATGAATATTCATACATTTGGGCTGTATGACCATTTAACCACATTGGCCAAAATCCTACTGCAAAATACCACATGCATATAAGGTCAGCATTGCAAGTAGTTTTCACATTTTGAAGGCTGACTGCATGTGCAGTTGGTTGCATAAGCTGGGCTTGTCTGTGCTTAGAAGAGGCAGCGAGCAAGATTTCACACACTGCTTGTGTGACTGCTGATTTACCCAGTGCAACTCCAACAAGAGTGTTGTCAACATTGTTTTGCTTTGAATGAAGCTGTAGCCACGTGTTCTAAGAATGTGTTCATCCTTTCCAGGGAACCACTAATAAAGCTAGGCTCAAAAGGGGTAACTGTCCCATTGGCATTGAACTTCATTAAAATACGCTGTCAAAATGAAGCTGTCTACCAGTACCATGTGACGTTCAGGTAATAATGCTTGAATTTTACCATTCCACTCAGCTTTTAAAAGGCTGTTTTTATTTATACATGTAGAGACATTTTGTGTGGTTAACAAGTGTTTCAACATTGAAGAAGGGCACAATTATTCTTTTTAATGCATAATATATTTATTCAAATAATGGTTCCTATAAGACACTTTTTTTGCTGCTTTAGGTTTCTGTGAGTTAATATTTCAGTTCAAGACTGCCATTTAACTTCTCTCTCTTTTTTTGAATCTTGTCTTCCAGCCCTGAAGTGGAGTGCAGGAACATGCGTTTTGGGATGTTAAAAGAACATAAATCTGTGACAGGGGATGTTACTGCATTTGATGGCTCTATTCTTTACTTGCCTGTCAAGTTGTCTCAAGTAAGGCTTGATTAAAATGCTTCATGATTTACTAAAACAAAACAGGATGAAATCCTGTTGCTTAGCATATTAAATTAAAATTAGGGTAGGTCCACTAAATCAGCAGAAATTCAGAGTGATTGACACAGCCACAGTATGTCTCCTTTTTTTTTTGTCTTCCCGGCATGGAACTACAGTACATGTCTTCATTGGGAGGAGCATCTCTTGCAGTTTTTTTTACAGGTATAAGAAAATAGATGTAGTGCTTATTTTAGCTAGAGAGTAAGGTTCTTGAAGAGAATAAATTTTCACTCCAAAAAAGGTCTGGGTGATTTGTTTTGTTTTGTAAAGAATACTTATAGGTAAAGAATATAGGGAGCATTCTGGGCAAAAGTATCCTTACAGATTTGAGGTTGTCTGTGTTGCTGGCCCATTTGAGACACTTTCACATCCTGCAGGACATTTGTGCGTTCAAATATAAGTGTCAAGACTTTTGTTCGTTTTTTTTGCGCAATGCTTCAGTAATGAAAAGACATCTGACAACATGTTTGGAGTGACAAGCAACTCCAAGGGGGCAGTTTTCTCACTCAGTTCACAACAGATTTTGTGGTGACGGTGCTGTGAAGTATTGTAATAAGTAAAGGTAAAGCTTCCCCTTGACATTTAGTCCAGTCGTGTCCGACTCTAGGGCATGGTGCTCATCCCAGTTTCCAAGCCATAGAGCTGCCGTTTGTCTGAAGACAGTTTCCATGGTCACGTAGCCAGCGCGACTAGCCACGGAACGCCGTGACCTTCCCACTGAGGTGGTACCTATTTATCGACTTGCATTTTTACATGCTTTCGAACGGCTAGGTTGGCAGGAGCTGGGACAAGTGACGGGAGCTCCCTCCACCGCGTGGATTCGATCTTACGACGTCTGGTCTTCCGACCTTGCAGCACAGAGGCTTCTGCGGTTTAACCCGCAGCGCCATCGGGTCCCGAAGTATTATAATAGCTGACAGTAAAATCAGATTTCCTAAACAGATGTGTAGGTCTATATCTGTGAAGATTCTCAGTCATTCAGGTGATGTAATCTGGAAGTTGAGTCTTGGCAACTGGACTTCTTTCTTTCTTTTTGTACAGAAGCTACTTGGATGAGTAGTGAAACATTTCAGCCTAATAAGAAAGGAGTCCAGTTGCTATGACTCAACTGCTGCACTCAAAAGACAAGTGTTCTCTGTGAGGCTGTTACGGACATTGGAAAGGAAGTAACCTTTGACCTCTCGGGAAAACTGCGTATGTATAAGCCAATACAAAGGAATAGGCAAAGTATAAGACGTACCTATTTTCAGAACAGGGTGTGTCCGCATAAAATTTTAAATGGTGATTGGCTCATCATATCTCCTAGAACTTCTAGAGATTTATTCTGTCAAACAGGATGTTTGCTCAAAATTTATATAGGTGTGTTTTTGCATTCTGATGCAAAATGTTGTCTTCTGGTTTAGACTGAAATTCTAAAATGTCAAAGGAAGACGGATGGTGGGGAAGTCACTGTAAAGATACAGATGACCAAAATTTTGGAGCCAAACTCGGACTTGTGTATTCCATTTTATAATGTTGTTTTCAGAAGGTAGGTAGCTGTAATCTCTGGCCTTTGCTGTTTCAATTTGTGAGTTTTGGAGTTTATTAAAAATAAGCTAAGTTTATAATAACTGAATTTGATACAGATGTATGCAGGGAAGCCAACACAACCAAATCCCTTAAATCTAAATAACAGATAGATTGAGTTGAAGTTATATTTGTAATGTAAAAACAAATCAAGGACAAATATGTGATGTTTGAAGTTGTGCATCTCAAATATGGCATATTAGGACTGTTTTGAATTCATAATTTGCATTATAGTACAGTGGTGCCTCGCTTAACAATTGCCTCGTTTAGTGATGTTTTCGCTTAACGATGGTTTTTGTAAAGAATTCTATGCATCATTTAACGATGATTCCTATGGGTGATTTTCGCTTAGCGATTTCGGGACCATGCTTCACATAGTGAATGCGTTTTTAGGTCCCCTGTTTCGCTTAACGATGTCCGTTTTTTCAATTTTAAAAGTGTCCTAAAATGTTCAAAAATGTTTTAAATGCTTGGAATCGTTAGTGCACCTTCTAAAACGTGTGCAAACTTAATTTGGCTTTGATCTGACTTTTCGTTAATTTTTGGTGAATTCTTTTCTCCCCCATAGGAAAGCATTGAAACCAACTTTTGACAGCTATCAAAAGTTGGGCTCAATGCATTTCAATGGGGGAGGAAAAAATTCACAAAAAATTAACGAAAAGTCAGCAACTGTTTTAAATGCTTGGGTTCATTAGAGCACTTTCTAATTCGTGTGCCAACTTAGTTTGGCTTTGTTCTGAGTCTTCGTTAATTTTTGTGAATTTTTTCTCCCCCATAGGAAAGCATGGAGCTGTCAAAGTTTGACAGCTGTCAAAAGTTGGTGGGGGAAAAAAATTCAGCAAAAATTAACGAAAAGTCAGATCAAAGCCAAATTAAGTTTGCACCCGTTTTAGAAGGTGCACTAACGATTCCAAGCATTTAAAATAGTTTTTGAACCTTTTTAGACACACTTAAATTTGCAAAAATGGACATCGCAAAACCATTGAAATGCATTGAATAGGCTTCAATGCATTCCAATGGAGGAAACATTGTATAGCTTAACAATGTTTCCTATGGGTTTTTTCTCTTAAGGACGGCAATCCGTGCCTATTGGAACAGATTAACCGGTTTTCAATGCATCTCTATGGGAAAATGTGTTTCGCTTAACGATGTTTTCCCATCGCAATGTGTTTTTTTGAACCAATTAACATCGTTAAGCGAGGCACCACTGTATTTAGACTTGTAAGAGAGAGTGAATGCTTTAATATTTGTGTCAATGGGAAATTAGGATTTCAGAGACATACAGTGGTGCCTCGCTTAACGACGTTAATTTGTTCCAGTGAAATCGCTGTAGAACAAAAACGTAAAGTGAAAATAAAAAAACCATTGAAACGCACTGAAAAATGTTCAGTGCGTTCCAGTGGGCTAAAAACTCACCGTCCAGCGAAGATCCTCCATACAGCGGCCATTTCCGATGCCTGTATAGCGAGGAATCCATCCCTAAGCACAGCGGGGAGCCATTTTAAGCACCAGCTGGCCATTTTGAAAACCCGACGATCAGTTGTTTTTGATCGTTGTAAAGCGAAAATCGGTGTCCGAAGCAGGGAACTGATCATTGCTAAGCGAAATTCCCCCATTTAGACCATCGTTTTGTGATCGCAAAAGCGATCGCAAAAACGTCATCGTGAAGCGGATTCGTCGCAATGTGGGGTAATAAATAAATAAATAAAATAAATAATCGTTAAGCGGGGCACGGCTGTATTAAGGAACCATCAAGAGTGCCAGTAAGCACACCTCGAATCAACTAAATCACTCACCAGTGTACAACGCTGTAGCTGATTCATTTATTAACTTGATCTTAGTTCACTCAGAGAGGGTTAAAGGCTTATATATTAGAGCAGTGGTCCCCAACCTTTTCCAAACTACGGACCAGATGGAGGGTGGGTTCTGTGTGCGGGTGAGCAGGGCACCCCTTCTCGCGTGTGGGTGGGTGGGGCACTGGTCTTTGGGGAGAAAATGATGGACATTCATTCCAAAGCATTTCACCTATGGGTATCTCTTGTGAATAAACAAGAATTCATTTTTGTATTGTTATAATTGATGTTTGGATTTTGGATTTTAATTGTATATCTTTTGTTGTTAGCCGCCCAGAGTGGTTTGATATACCAAATAGGCGGGATAAAAATCCAATCAATCAATCAATCAATCAATCAATCAATCAGTCAATCAATCAATCAATCAATCAATCAATAAATTTTGTGCCATATATCTTGATCTTAAGTAGCAGACTGCATTTTCAGCCTCTTAATTATCCTGAGCCTCTTAATTATCCCGAGTTTCTCTTCTAGGGTGATGAGGATTTTAGATATGAAGCTGGTTGGAAGGAATTTCTTTGACCCTACCAGCACTACTGTGATGCAACAGTATAGGTCAGTATGCTTTATTGGGTTTTTATTTTCGGCTGAACATCCCATTACTTTACTAAGTCTGAATAAAAAGGCCTTCTCCTCTTAGTGTAAGAAGAGGGGAAAGGGGGTCCTTCTAGGCCCTAGTTCAAACGTGTGGGAGAACCAGAGAGAAGGCCCTCTCTGTGCGTCTTCACCGAAGTGTCCTCAGAAGGTGGTGAGACTGAGGGAAGGGTCTCTGCAAATTGTCCTCAAAGGTTCTTGCTTGTAGTAAAAGCCTTACATAGTTGTCTTCAGTTTTGATACAGTTGTATGGTATGTGTGTTCTGGAAAACCATATTGCACTATGCATAGCTAAATATTTTTTATAGCTGAGAATTACGCCTAGTACTTTACCTCTAAAAGTTCATCTTTACATAATAAAAACACATCAGGGAAGTAGCTGGTGTGGCATTCTCTAGTTGCTGTCTTGGTCCTCTGTATGATGACAGCATTTTCTAATACAGGAGTTGATGCCATAGCTCCCCATGGATTTTGAAAATGTGTATGCCGAGGTGCTAGAGCAATCTCGAGATTAGACCATTGTAATGCGCTCTACGTGGGGCTGCCTTTGAGGCTGATGCAGAAACTTCAGGTGGTCCAGAATGCAGCAGCCAGGCTTCTTAGTGGGGTGAGAAATTATCAACACGTCTCCCCCACTCTGGCTGCTTTGCACTGGTTGCCCATCCGTTTCCGCATCGACTTCAAAGTGTTAATGATTACATATAAAGCCCTAAATGGTTTGGGACCTCAATATTTGGCAGATCGTCTTCTCCCACCCAGATCTACCTGAATCACCTGACATAGCCAGCAGGGACGGCTGAGGGGCCTGATGCCGAAGGAGGCCCGGAAGGAAAAAACAAGAAACCAGGCCTTCTCGGCGGTGGCCCCTCGGCTGTGGAACACTCTCCCTACTGAAATTTGGTTGGCACCCTCGCTGGGCATTTTCAAAAGCCAGTTAAAAACTTGGTTATTTAAACAGGCCTTCCCTCCAGCCAATTAAGTGATTTTTTCCCTCTCTTCTTGAGTCTTGCCATCTTGGAAATGTGTTGTTTAGAATTAATTGTAAGAATTGTATTTTTATATATGTTATTTTGATGTGTTTTAACCTATGTAAGCGGCCCCGAGTAAATGCTGTCTAGAGGGGCGGTGTAAAAATCGAATAAATAAAATAAATAAATAAATATATCCCTTTATTTCCCCCCCCTCAAAGATTGCAGATATGGCCCGGCTATGCAACCAGTATCCGGAGGACAGACGGAGGGCTGTTTCTGCTGGCAGATGTTGTTCACAAAATTATTAGGAATGATTCAGTCCTGGATTTCATGTGAGTAAGAAATTTTATCTTAGCAAACATTGCACAGACCTTAAAGAGGAACATGAGAACTTAGTTCCAGTAATTTTTATAGATCTGTAATTCTCAGTGTTGTCCTCACTAAAGATAAATATTGTATTAAGTCTTTAGACCGTTCCACGGAAGACCCAGGTTTCCCTGTAATTTTTAATTTAGAGAAGGCAAACACTGGGAATTTTTGTCGGATGGCTCTTGGGAAGAAGGCAATTTCTCTGTTACGTGCCCGCGTGTACTATAAATTGAAAATGCACATCCCTCTTGTCAGAGAGAGAACCTCAGGCAAACTCTGTGCATGAACTGTCTGCAGGAAGGTGCTTCTTCTGAGAAGTGGTTTTCATCTTATATATGCTGCCTTTAATTTGTATCTCCACAATTTCCTTATCCTAGAAAGATAGGTGCAATAAAGTTGTAACAAGAACTAGGGAAATCGTTTCTTTTGTTTTGATAAAGAGCTGGCACTAGGCATGGTGTTTTCATATTTCTTGGACTAAAAATCCCATAATTGGTTGCCTGACATAACACACCTTACAGACACCTAAATGGGGCTCACTGGGGAGAAGAGCCTTAACAAAGGCTTTGAGGCTTAGCTATCCCTATCTTTGCCTAGCTTAGCCTCAGAGCCTTCCAACTGATGTCCTTTTTCCCAGATGAGCCACAGAATGGGGGAATTACAAGATTTTTAGTCCAAGACATTACAAAATCCCATCCCTAGCTGGTTTTGTTTGTTGATGTTGAGGGGTGTGGATGGTTCTTTTAAAAATACACAGTATTTCTGTACAACACACACAACTGTTCAAAGGACATTCAGTCTATTGCCTAGTTGTAATTCTTGCAGTGTTGTTGCAGGGCTAAGTCGTATTTGCAGGTGGTTGAGACTGGGCTGAGAAAAATGGAAGGTTTGAACAGGGAAAGATTTATAGCTCAGTCCATAGTGCCACCTCTTTATATGCCAGGTCAAAATTCTTTTTCCCCATGGTTTTCTCCAAAGGCATGCAATTTACCAGCAAAGTCGAGAGAATTTCCAGGATGCGTGTATGAAGCAGCTTGTTGGCAATATTGTCATAACTCGATATAATAACAATACTTACCGTATTGACGACATTGACTGGAACAAGACACCCAAGGATAGTTTTACCATGTCTGATGGCAACAAGATCACGTTTCTAGAGTATTACAGGTAAGAGGTGGTGCTCAAACATGTGCCAAGGTGCTAGAGCAATAGAGGGAAGCATAGCTCAGTGGTTTGGATCTCTGGCTACAGAGCCAGAGGTTGGGACTTTGATTCCCCACTGTGCTTCTAGACAGAATCTGGACTTGGTTGTCCAAAGGCTCACTTCCAGCTCTGCAGTTCTAAGGCCATTATTATAAGTGGTGAATAGGAGAAAATTCATTATCTTCGTTGTCTTTAAGACTAAAATATTGCCTACTGTGGCCCAATGTAGCTATTTTCTTAGTCCTGCATACTTGCTGTTTGTATTTTGTAGCTTCGAATGAATTATTTTGCTCTAGAATTCATATGACATTCCTTTTCCAGTATCTTCATTGTCTAAGACTAAAATATTGTGTACTGTGGCCCATTGTAGCTATTTTCTTAGTCCTACATACTTACTGTTTGTATTTTTGTAGCTTCAAATGAATTATTTTGTTCTAGAATTCATATGACATTCCTTTTCCAGTAAAAACTATGGGATAACCATTAGGGAAGTCGACCAGCCACTGCTGATTCACAGACCCAGGGAAAGGAAGAATCCTCCAGGGAAGGTGAGCCACTGACATTCTGCATGAGATTCAGTAATGGTGCTAATCTGAATTAAAGCATCCACAGGATGCTAGTTTGTAAGAAGCAAAACTGCACATCCAGTTTTATGGAGACAGGTCATGTGATACCTAGTTGTAGAATGGCCAGCCTGTGACCGGAAGATCTTGTTCAGCCTTCACCCTATTTCCACGCTAATGCAGGGAGCTCAGAGGAGGTCAGGAGGATTAAGAGAAAACCAGAACAGGTTGATGAGGAGGAAATACTTGCTTAGCTCTTGGTTTTGCACTCTAGTTAGCAGCCTACCTCTCCTATCAGGACTACACCGTTGTCCTGTGTCTCTACCCCAGCTTCCGGTAATAGGACCTTTTCATGTTTGCTGATAGACCTTGTGTTTAATTTCCCTCCAGCTACCGAAGGGTGAGATCCTGCTGGTGCCAGAGCTGTCTTTCTTGACTGGGATTCCTGAGAATATGAAGAAAGATTTCAGAATCATGAAGGTAGTGTGAGTTCCGCTCCTGGGTCCCATGCAAAGCTAGGGCTTCCTGGTAGGCCTCCCAGTGTCTTTCTTGGTCTGAGGTTGAAGGTGTATGAACTGAACTGGCCATTAGAGGGAACCAGAGACTATGCTGTATGTAGGCTTTGCATATCCGCAGCTTTCAGCATCCACGGGGCGGGGAGATTTCGACTCAGTCCCCCACAGATGCTGTGGTCCTACTATGGTTGAAACTTCGGAGGAGTGATGGTTTCAGTTATACTTAATACCCCCACCTTCCATCCTGTCTCTGTGCTTTAGAAGTGGAGCTTCAGTTTATAGATGCCTCTTTTTCAGTCCAAGCTGAAATACTGCATATTCCTTTCTCCCCCATTGCGGCCTCGGGTTAGGAGCTTAGCCAGAAGATCAACCTGAGCCCTAAGCAGCACCACATTGCTCTGAGCCAGCTCCTGAGCAGGATTGAGAAGAACGAAGCGGCGCGTAATGAACTGTCACGGTGGGGACTTTATTTGGACAATGACATTTGTAAGGTAATTGAATCGAGAACGGCTACTTGACCACAATTTAACCTTGTCTGAGGGCAGAATCCCGAATTCTTGATTGAATCATGGCCTCCATAGCCCTGCTTTAGGTCTGTCTTTGATTCTAGCGTCTTGCAGTTCAATTGATTCCAGAGGTCTGACAGAAGACTTAAGGGATGCCACATATCCTTTCCACCATTGTATGACCATCTTCCTCTCTTTAAGGCAGTTTCCAACCAAATAGAAGTAGAATTTATTGTCCAAATATATCTATATTTCCTTTCAATATTTGATATTTTAACCGCTCAGGGAAACTAAAATCACAACATTACTCTGATTTGGCATTTGTTGTTATAGTAGAGAAGTTAGTTATCTCCTTAGTAGAGAAGTATCCCATTATAGTGTGGTTCACTGTATAGCAGGAATTGATCCTCTGAGGATAGCACAGATCTCTGTGGAGGTGGGGAACACAGAAGAAACAAAACGAAGTGGCCAGAGGTCCATTTGCATTTATTTATTTTATTTGTATTTAAAATATTTTTACCCTGTGTTTCTCCTTTGAAAGGATCCAAAACAGCTGCCATTTTAAAAGACCATTGTTATTATTGTTTAGTCGTTAAGTTGTGTCTCTCTCTTTGTGACCCCATAGAGCACGCCTGGCCCTCCTGTCTTCCACTGCCTCCCAGAGTTGGGTCAAATTCATGTTGGTAGCTTCGATGACACTGTCCAAACATCTCATCCTCTGTCGTCCCCTTCTCCTCCTGCCTTCACACTTTCCCAACATCAGGGTCTTTTCCAGGGAGTCTTCTCTTCTCATGAGATGGCCAAAGTATTGGAGCCTCCACTTCAGGATCTGTCCTTCCAGTGAGCACTCAGGGTTGATTTCCTTCAGAATGGATAGGTTTGTTCTCCTTGCAGTCCAGGGGACTCTCAAGAACCTCTTCCATCTTTATAGTTAAAAAGCATCAATTATTCGGTGGTCAGCCTTCTTTATGGTCCAGCTCTCACTTCCATACATCGTTACTGAAAAAACCATAACCTTGCGGACCTTTGTCGGCAAGGTGATGTCTCTGCTTTTTAAGATCTTGTCTAGGTTTGTCATTGCCTTCCTCCCAAGAAGCAGGTGTCTTTTAATTTCGAGGCTGCTGTCACCATCTGCAGTGATTATGGAGCCCTAGAAAGTAAAATCTGTCACTGCCTCCATATCTTCCCTTTCTCTTTGCCAGGAGGTGATGGGACCAGTGGCCATGATCTTAGTTTTTTTTTTTATGTTGAGCTTCAGACCATTTTTTGCACTCTCCTCTTTCACCCTCATTAAGAGGTTCTTTAATTCCTCCTCACTTCCTGCCACCAGTGTGGTGTCATCTGCATATCTGAGGCTGTTGATATTTCTTCCGACAATCTTAATTCCGGTTTGGGATTTGTCCAGTCCAGCCTTTCGCATGATGTATTCTGCATATAAGATAAATAAGCCGGGGGACAGTATACAGCCTTGTTGTACTCCTTTCCCAATTTTGAACCAATCAGTTGTTCCATATCCAGTTTTAAACTGTTGCTTCCTGTCCCACGTATAGGTTTCTCAGGAGGTAGATAGTGTGGTCAGGCATTCCCATTTCTTTAAACACTTGCCATAGTTTGCTGTGGTCCACACAGTCAAAGGCTTTTGTCTAGTCAATGAAGCAGAAATAGATGTTTTTTTGGAACTCTGCTGATTTCTCCATAATCCAGCACATGTTAGCAGCTGATTTCTCTGTAATCCAGCACATGTTAGCAGAAGACCATATTGAAAGCTAAAAGACCATATTGAAAGCTAAAACAACTTGAGTATTTTTTGTGTTTAAAAAATATTTAAAGGGCAAATTGCTCCTCCTGAAAGCTTCCAGAAGTGAGAATTCTATCTTAATCTATTTTATGGGGGTGGGTGGGTGACCAGAGACAGCACAAAAAGCCTTGGGAAACACATGTGGCTGTACAGTGAACAGGCTTAATTGCAAGCTTCTACTTCTTGGGTTGCTATTGACAAAATTCTCTTAGATCCTAAAAATTGCCAGAAAATATGGCTTCTCTAAGGCTCAGTTATCGATTTTGCCAATTCGCAACTTGGCTTTGGCGAGAAAAAAGTAGCTGGAGATGCTCAAGGAAAGCTCATTAGAGTAACATATTTGTTATCTGGCCCCAAAGGAAAGCAAAATCTGGGGCTTCGGCCGTATCCTGATTAAGTCCTGCACTTCTCCATTTTGCACCTTTCGGTTCAGGCTGAAGGACGTGTTCTGCCCATGGAAAGAATCAACGTAAAGAAGAGCTCCTTCGTCACTACAGATGATCTCAACTGGACCAAAGAAGTCAGTAGAGAAGCCTGCATTTCCTCTGTAAGTATGGCCCCCGGCATGGGCACAATTCTAATAGTCGAGCCACCCTTCTCTGCAGTGTGCAGGTGGAAAAGCTTAAGCCTGATGCATCTGGGGCTTAACTTTAAGCTCTGCACTGACATGCATTTTCAGGTGAAAAATGAATTCTGGCAAAATTTCGGTGTTGCTGTGTTGATAACATTTATCTATCCATAATCTCTGGCCACGTTGTCTGAAATCCAGTAGTAGATCACAACTAGAGTGGGCCCATTGAATCATTGCGGATTAAATGAGTCTGTTCTTTGGTACATTCCATGGATTTGGTGGGCCTACTTGAGTTGTGACTTCCTCCTGGATTCCACCTGTGAGGATGAGGAACCACAGAATTGTTCTCCTCCCTGTGCAGAAGGCGGAGGTATTTTGTGGACTTTCCGACAAGGGAGGAGAATGATGGAGGCGGGGGTTGTCAGTTCAGCAAAAATGCAAGAAAAGCAGTTCAGTGCAAACGGCACAAAGTAACAGTGCCCGGTGTTTCATTGCCTGGGATTTTTAAGGATTAGAAACTAAGGAAGGTGTCTGCATATTTTAAAAGAATCAGCTAGCTAGGTGTTCTCTATTTTTGCCATACAGACAGGCAGCTTCTCAAAGGAAAGGCATGGGCCACCCTGAGTCTGGTTGTGGAAGTTAAGGAAACCTTGACGAGGGAGGAGGAAATGGTGCTTGTCTTGTACTGATCTGGATGCAAGGAATCTTGCGGGGCTCGAACATTCTTTGTTAGATACTTGACCATGTTGAGTCTGCCCAAATCAGAGGTGGGCAAAGTGGAGCCTCTCAGGGACTCAAGTTCTGCTCACTAATCACTGCCTCAAATTATTATACTTTAAACCATGCTCAGAAATCCACTTGTGTCCTGTTTGGGGCATCAGAGGCACCTCTGCCATGTTTTGGCCATAGCAACCTCTGCCTCCCTCTTTTCAAACCGTTGTGTAGTTAAAAAAAAAAAGTAGCCACTCGAGGGCCTAAGGGAGCTGTTCCATTTGTAATAAGCCCTTTTAAAGAAAAAATGTATTGCAATGGGCAGGGTGTGAGAGTAGGTGTGACCTCCTTAGGTGCCAGGGGTAGATACGCAGCACTCTTGGACTTTGGAAGTTCCTGACCCCTGGGGAGCTGTTCCATTTGTAATAAGCCCTTTTAAAGAAAAAATGTATTGCAATGGGCAGGGTGTGAGAGTAGGTGTGACGTCTTGGACTTTGGAAGTTCCTGACCCCTGTCTTAAAAAATTAGAATTAAGCTTGCAGGTTTTGCAAGTAGCTTTTTATTCTGTTTATTCATTCTGAACCTTGGGCATTGCTTTTTAACATTGCTTTGGGTGAAGGTTAGGAAAACCAGAGTAAAGCGAAGATTTTTAAAATTCATTTTTAAAATTAAAGGATTTAAAAGACTAGCAGTGACAAACAGCATGCATAAAGCTGGGGAAAGATCAGCTTAGCATTGAGTGATCTGTGTTTTGGAGCATCTGTGAATGGGAGTCTCTGCTTGGCTTCATAGGTTCCGCTTCATTTCTGGGCCCTGTTTTATCCAAAGCGAACCATGGAGCAAGCACGTGAACTGGTAAACATGCTGCAGAAAGTCTCTGGTCCCCTTGGTATACCAATAAATCCACCTGCTTGGTCGGAATTGAAGGATGACCGCATAGATACTTATGTCAAGGCCATCAAATCATTGCTTAGTAGACAGGTACGTGGTTCAGAAGCTTCTGAATATGAAAACCTTCTCATTTGTATTTTCAGCAGCTGTCAATAAGACATGGTTTATGTCGACAAGAGGAGTTAGTGGTTATACTCAAAGGTGGCAAATGATTTCTGGACATCCACCATTGTATGCAACGCAGTCATAGAATAGTGGTTCCCAACCTTGGGTAATCCAGGTGTTCTTGGACTACAACTCCCAGAAGCCTTCACCGCTAGCTGTGCCGGCTGGGGTTTCTCGGAGTTGCATTCTGCGAACACCTGGGTTACTCAAGGTTGAGAGCCACTTTCGTAGAGTGATGGTCTCAAGACTCTGTATTTGGTAAAGCTGACCTGCTGCTCCAGAATGTGAAGGGTTTCTGTCCATATGAGATCCTTTGTTTCTGGCTGTTCACCAACTGGTGAATAGCTAGATAATTTCACTCCTGTAGGATAAAGTTTCCTTATGAGCCCAAGCAGGTGTTCAACTAGTGCCCAGACAAGTCCAGAGAGCAGGTTGCCAGTGGTGGCATGATCTCATGGTTGTCTTTTGAAGGAGACAAGTATATGTGTCCTCCATCAGTGATCTCTCCCCACTGATCCATACGGTTGATGAAGTAACCATTGTGACATTGTCCATGACCTGAAAAACAGCAGCTATAGCGTCTTTCATTCCCACGTTGTCCATGGCCTGAAGAAGGAAGACACAACAGCAGCTATAGCGTCTTTCATTCCCACGTAGCTAAGTAAAAGAATTAACTATTCGGAGAAGGAGGAGATTGACGACAACATTAACTTCCCTATATCAAGTTTTGTGCCTTTCCTTTACAAAGAGTACAATTCTTTCCCCTCAGCTGTGAATTTCCTCACATTTCCTGAGTGGCAGTGGAGTGGAGAAATAGTGGAGTGGAGAAATGCACATTACATGATGTAGTGCTTCACCTGGTGATAGTGGAGTGGATAAATGCACATTACATGATGTAGTGCTTCACACTAGTGTTATAGCAAAATATTCTACTCGGCGGTGGTGTTTTGGGTTGTCACACTGTGTTAGGTCTAATACCCTCATTTTCCAGATAAACCTGGTGTGAGCTGCAACAAGCATAGTGGTGGCCAGATAACAGCTTTTTGGGGAGCATTGTGTTACCCCTTTCCTGTTTTCAGAAACTGGCCACAAAGAATTGCCGTCACTCTGAACTGTCTCTATGGCTTCATCACATGGCCTGGTGTGAGCTGGCTGTGACCCAGTGTTGTCTTCACACGGATTACTTGATCTCTCGTTGGTTGTTGGGATCATGTAGTTTGGAGTATGAACCCCTGACTGACCAAAGGAAAGAGTTTGGTGGGAAGCTTGGTGAAAAGATGTAAACAGGGCAAATATTTAGTGCACCCTGAAACCCGATCTTTTGCATTGCAAAGATTCAGCTTTGATCATTCACTGCTGCCTGATCTTAACTTACTTGGTGGCCAGAAGACTAAGTGTCGGTTGAAATCCCAGAATTGACATGTTTCTGAGTGGGTTTTTGTCACACAGCAGCCTAGTATTGAACACTTTGTCCAGTAATGGTGGTTGTGCAACTACAAAATGCCGACTATAAAAATTCAGTTCTGATGCAGTTATCTGTGACATTTAATGTGTCAGTCTGTGTTGTGTGGTGAGGTGACCTTCATTAGAAGTCGAACCAGTCATGTGCTTCCCTCCTGAATTTTTTCCCCCTTCTTTTTTTGGGGGGGGGAGCAGGATTCCATACAGTTGGTGGTTTGCATTATCACAGGGTCCAGAGATGATTTGTATGGAGCCATTAAAAAACTATGCTGTGTGCAGTCTCCGGTCCCTTCCCAGGTGAGTCGAATTATTGCCTATCTACCCCTTGAGCCAAGGATGCTTTAGGGCAATTTAAGCCATTTATTAAGACATTTGAAACAACTTGTTGTATATAAATATTCCTTGTGTTGAACGTTACTGGTTGTGTTGCTATACATTTGATAGCTTCCAGTTGTTAACACAGAGTAACATCTTAAATTTCTTAATGACTCTGATTCATCATTGAACCCACGATCATCTGTAACAGAAAATACATCTCGTTTGCTCCCCCTTAGTGATCATTTATTATTTATTTATTTAAATTTTTTATTATCCTGCTTTTCTATCCTCATGCCGACCCAAGGTGGCATATGGAAAATTTTAAATCAGCAATTAAGCCAGATTAAGATTTTGAACTATAGTATATGTTTATGTAAAACATTCTTTAGAAACAATACATTTTAAAAGGTTTTTCCACCTGTCTCCTAGTTTCCCAAAAGAGGATATGTTTTTGGATGTGGATGGAAGAAAAGAGAAGGAAACAACCACACTTCCCAAGGGCGGGGGGAGGTTTCCATAATTTGGGGGCAGCCGTAGGAGAAGTGTTCTCTTGGGTCCTCGCCAGATGTACTTGTGAAAGCAGTGGGAGCAAGAGAAGGCACTCCCTGAGGATCTTAATCTGTGTGGGTGCTCAGTACAGGGAGACATGGTCTGTCAGATGGACCTAAAGAGCTTTAAAGCTCCTGACCAGCTCTATAAATAAGGCCAACACAACTGTTGTAACACGGGAGTCACATGATCACAGTAAACAGCCCAGTCAACAGTGTGGCTTCAACATATTGCCCAGTTGACATTTCCAAACCGCCTTCAGAAGCAGCCCCACACCGTACCCAGGTCAGCTTCTCAAGGAGCAGAGACAGCTGGAGCACTAGTTTGAATTTTGTAAACATACTTTTGGCCACTGCTGAAATCCAGACATCCAGGATCAGAGAGGAATCCAGAGGTTGGTCAAGGTGATAAACAGGTATCTCTCAGTGCTACCTTCTGGGTTTGCTCCCAGGAAGGACCAAAGACATTGCAACACTGTGCATCCCAGACGGATGGCCTAGAAGCATACCATGGTCAGAGGTATCAAAAGCTGTTAAGAGATCCTGCAGAACCAACAAAGACGCACTCACCTTCTCTAATTTCCAGCAGAATTGGGCCTAAACCCCAATGGAAATGTAACTTAGGTCATCCATCTCATTGAGGTACCCCTGGAGCTAAGAATCCACTACTCGCTCCATAAACGTCCTTGAAAGTGGAACTGAGTTGTGGGAAATAAATGTGTATTTTATGTTGTATTTTTTTTTTAAAAAAAGTTAAAAAAAGAAAGAAAATGGAATATTAGAGACTGGCCTGTATTTGTCAAGTACTGGGGGGGGGAGGGGGTCCAGAGAGGGCTTTTTTATTTAAGTAAAGGTCTCCTTAAGACATGGCAGGATTATATCCTGCTCCAAGAGGGGTCAACCACTCTTCTTACTCATTCAATCTGAGCCCTTGCAGCTGCATTTATAATGTATGAAGGGGAGGGATCAGGAATATGTGTAGTGGCTCTCACCTCTTCCAGGATCTTGTCTGCATCCTTGGGATCCTCAAGGATGATGGGATTTTTGGATGTGTATTGAATGTGAACTGACAACTAAATAGTCCTGTGAATGCACAGAGAAAGAAATCTTGTTTTTTTGTTTTAAGGACTGATACCTTGTAAATATTCTGAAAATGTGTTGAAATAGATTGACTGTTTAGAATGGCAAGTGCAGAGTGGCTGAAGGATGGATGGTTAATATCTTGTATTGCATTCGTTCTAAACATTTGTCTCTTGCTGCAGGTTATTAATGTCCGAACCATCACCACCCAGCCCAGCAAACTTAGAAGCATAGCGACAAAAATTCTGCTGCAGATTAACTGCAAACTGGGTGGGGAACTCTGGGGTGTGGACATCCCTTTGGTAAGTTAAACCCAAACTACAAATGGGCATGAACTGCTGGTTCGGCAGTTTGATTTATGGCAAACAGGTGTTCAGCAGTTCCCAGCCCCACTCTTCCAACAGGTGCCCGCTCAGAGGTAGTGCCCCCGGCTTCCTTGCCCCGCCTCCTCTGGGCACTGCCTCTGAGTGGGCTGCCTGACAGAGGAGGAGGGGCTGGGAAGCCCCGAACCCCTGTTTGGGGATGATAAATGAACTGGGACACACTGCCGAGCCAGCAGTTCATGCCCATCTCTAACCAAACCCATTTCTTTTCAGAGAGGTTTAAACTTAGAGCTTTCTGCCTCTGCTGGTTCAAAACATTCCCTTGTCCTGCTTACCACCTTTCTGTATTTTGTGAACCACACCATTTGTTCCTGGCTCTTGTAGTCTCCCCCCACCCCGACAAGCAAAAAAGCTTTTGAGAGAGAGAGCTTACTTAGGAGTTCGTTCGGATTTGTGGATTTGAATAACTTTCGTTCACATCCTAAAACGTAACGGGCATACTCATCCTGGGAGGCATTAAGAAGGAGACTAATGTGCACACAAGAGCATATGGTGTAAGGAAATGACAGGAGAGCATGCCAGAAAAATAAATGCACAGTGTGTGCTTGAGCAGAACACAGGCTCACGGTGGCTTTACTTATTTCTCAGATGGAGACTAATGTGCACACAAGAGCATGTGGTGTAAGGAAATGACAGGAGGGCATGCCAGAAAAATAAATGCACAGCGTGTGCACAGCAGAACACTGGCTCACGGTGGCTTTACTTATTTCTCAGAATATATTGAAAGAGAAGACAGGTTACTTCCATCTGTTTTCAGGCTGTATCATTTTTTCCCTTTTGTCCATTCATTGCAGAGAATGTATATATTTTATGCTCCTGTGTGCATATACATGTACTCATATATACACGTGTACTGTGTACAGAGAGAGAGAGAGAGAGAGGTGTAGATAAACGTGTCTTCCTCTTTAAGCACCACAGTTTTAGTTGATTTTTAAAAACATGTTCTACCAAGCAGATTTTTTCGTTATCACCACCCTAAAACATATTCATTGTAAAAGACTAACGAGGGCCTTATATTTTACCTTTAGAGAAATAAGAGACATTTATTTATTACCCTGTTTCCTGAAAATAAGATGTAACCTGAAGATTACATCTAATATGATTTTTCAGGATACTTGTCATAGAAGCCCTACCCCAAAAATAAGCCCCAGTTAAGTGAAACCCCACCTTTCACCCTTGTGCAGCAACCAGAAGAAGAGGACAGGACTGTCTTTGGGTAAATATGCAGTAGATGATTGAACATTAAAAAATAAAACATCCCCTGAAAATAAGCCCTAATGCGTTTTTTGGAGCAAAAATTGTAAATATACAGTAGATGATTGAACATTTAAAAATAAAACATCCCCTGAAAATAAGCCCTAATGCGTTTTTTGGAACAAAAATTAATATAAGACCCTGTCTTATTTCGGGGAAACATGGTATTTATTTATTTAAAATATTTTTTCTCTCCTTGAAAGGACCCATCATTTATTTAAAGTATTTTTTCTCTCCTTGAAAGGACCCATCGCTGTTAACTTCTTTAATTTAATGCCGGGTGAGGACACCACAAAGGGGCGCCTTCTGGGTCCTTCATAGAGGCAGTATATGAAGCCATGAGCAAGAGCAGCGTAGCCTATGTGCCAATTGCTTTTTAACAGCTTGACTTTTAGGAGCACCTGAGTGTCCCTTTGTAACATCTGTCACTAACAGATTTACCTCTTTCTGGACATATGGTTGTGAGACCTGCAGGAGATCGTAGAAGGAATTTGCAACGTAGCTTTTGCTAGGTGTAATACTTTCTCCGCCACAGAGTTAAATTCTGCTTAACAGGACGTTTTCTGCCTTCCAGAAACAACTGATGTTGATTGGCATGGATGTGTACCATGACGCCAGCAGAGGAAAGCAGTCGGTGGTCGGATTTGTGGCAAGCATCAACCAGTAAGTGTGTCCTGCTCTCAGTCAGTGAGTCAGGGCATCTAGGTATGCAGGGACGTTCCAGTGTTATTGGTGTGACTGCTTTCAGAACCGTCACCTCTGCTAACATCCAGGGGGAACTGACTTTGCCCTCCTTTGGAAAGAAGACTCAGGATGGAAAGGTGCTGTCATCGGTCAGAAATTGTCACTGGATCGCTATGGCCAGAATTGGGAGCAATGGCCACAATCCAGCAGAGACTTTGGGCTGCTGAAGTTTCAGTACCCTAACCCACCCCATTCTGCAGCTTTAAAATGCTTCCTGGGGCAAAAAAAGAGCCCTGGAACCTGAAAAGGGGGTGGGAAACATTAAATTAATTTAACTTATGACAGTAGGATTTTAGCCAGTAAGCAGTTTAGAACAGAATTTCTTTTTAGTTTTGTTTCTAGGTGTGTTCAGTCATGTTATTACAGGAGTATTAAACTGCCAAAACATACTTGGTGTGTATGATTCTTGCCACTATAACACAGGCAATTGGGGAGAAATGTTTACCACCAAAGCCAGAATTTAGTGTCGTTATGAATATTGAGATTTTGGCCAAAATCCTGTTGCATAGTTATGCCTGTGGAATTAAAATAGCATCATTTGCAGGCCCTGCTGGAACGTTCTGGTGTACACCAAGCCTGGAGGTGGCCCCAAAAATCCTAGCAAGGACCTGTTCATTAGCAGCCAGAAGGCGTAACTAAGCCACAGGGTTTGGCTGTTGTGTCTCAAATTAACTCTTAACCTTCTGATACCAGGACTTTGACAAAATGGTACTCAAGGGTTGTCTTCCAAATACCTCAGCAGGAAATTGTGGACAGCCTGAAGGTTTGCCTCGTGGGTGCCTTGCAGAAGTTCCATGAGGTAAGGAAGACCAAAAAGTTGTGTTTCCCTTGATGAACAAAGTGTGTCTGTGTGTGTGGGGGGGGGAAGTGTGCTTGGTTTTAGATCGCACAATTGCACTTTTAAAAGATCTGTTGTCTTGTTCTTCAAGGGATTCCTCTTTTCCACACCCACACCCATATTTTCTTTCTTGCTACCAGTTTTAGAAGGGAAAGGACTGGAAGGCGGCCACACCTAGTGGGGCCTCCTTGTGCACTTCACATGCTACTGCCCACCCCCAGTGTCGATTTTTGGAGACCATTGCAGGTAGCTCTTCATTGCAGTCCACTTTCCCAGTGGATATCTGCCTTCCATCATCTGCGAGGCAATGGCAGGGGGAGAGCCACCTCAAAGAGCTGATGCATGTGGTGGATTAAGACAGACTCTTTGGTCCTCTTCCATCTGCAAACCTGCACTTGTTTTCTGTTGCTGATGCGTGTATTCTTGTGATGCTTCTGTCATATTGTCCCCTTTGTTATTATTTTTTATTCAGATCCCACTTTTCCCACAAATTCTGATGTAATGAGTTGCGACATGTTATATCTACATTGATTCATGTACTTTTTAAACATGTTTTTGGGGCCAAAAAAGTAATCTTGTACGCCGGCAAATACAGTAATAAATGTTATGTTTGTGTCTTTCTGTGGAATTCCTTTAAATTGTCCAGAGAATGTGTTGAGCTGAATTATCCAGGTCTCCCTGTGTGTCTTGCTGTCTCTTATCTTGTATCTTCGTTCCTGTGAAGGTCAACCACAGCCTCCCTGAAAAGATAGTGGTTTACAGAGACGGGACTTCCGATAGCCAGCTGAAGATGGTAGAGAACTACGAAATCCCACAGCTGGAGAAGTGCTTTGAAATTTTTGACAATTATGACCCTAAAATGGTAGTGTTTGTGGTTCAGAAGAGAATCAGCACCAACATCTACTCAGCATACAGTGACAACTTCACAACTCCTCCTCCTGGCACGGTGGTTGACCACACAGTCACCAGCCGAGACTGGTGAGTGAGAAAGGGCTCAGCCTTTGAAGGGAGCACCTCCCACAGGATCAGAGAGATCTGGGAAAAGCCTTACTCAGATTCTGTGGGGATAAGACATCAAGAGGGCAGATCAGATTGGCTTGTCGTTCTGCTGGCTGGGCTTCCAAATCATGGGATGACTCCCGGGTGATTCACAGCCAGGCTTAGCTCCATGTCAGCAATCTATGGGTCAAATACACAGGGTCCGTTTATTTAATAGAGAACTTGAGAAGCAGCAAGATGACGACCACAAGCTTTCAAACATTGCAAAGTGTATTGGTGTAACATCATCACAGCCCTACCATTGGTACTCGCAATGTGCTGGACCATTTATTTAGCATTGGCTGCGGGGGCTTGTTAAAAGCAAATGAGTAAAAAGATGGTTGAAATTTCCACTCAGCTGAAGTGATTCCAATGCCGAAATGGTTGGACAGACACACACAAAAGGTTTTAGCAATTAATAGCCTCAGATTTCCTCAGCAACAGCGTCCTGGGGATTCTTGATCACGCTTTCCAGTCTAAGAAAGCAGCCACAGATAGGACCAGTGCCCTCAGCTGTGACATTACAGTCATGGCTCAAAAGAGATGTACGCTTCTGGAAAGAAGGACTTGTCTTCTAATGTTTTCATTCCAATAAGTAGGACTATGGTATTTGCAGGAAATCAGTTCTAAGCCCCCCCCCCCAAATGGATACTGGAAAATGTGAAAGTATCAAACCCCCACATATTGTGTGGTCTCTGGCTCCCTCTAGTGGCCCATTCTGCTAAATATACCATAGAAATACGTATTTCTGGGAGGGAGCATTATATAGTATTTTCAGGCAGTGGATAAGTGAACCAGCGGATACTGGTCCTGCAGAGGGGGGAGGGAGGGTTTCTGCTGTAGTCTCATGTTTCTTAGACTGCACAGGACCCTCAAAGAAGAAAAACCAAGTTGCTCACTTGTTCTCCTCATTTGGGTGGATATTGTGTCCAACCGGACACCCCATCCTCTCTTCCCAGTTGCCAGACCATCCACCAGTCACCCTTTTGTTTTATCCGGTCAGTGGATAGGGCTCCATGGGGAGATGTTGTTTGTGCCTCCCTGCCCCATCCGTCATAAAGGGAGGAGTCCTCACTGTCTTGCCAGACTTGGTTTGCCCAGCTGCTTGTCTACCTGTGAATCCAGTGGAAGCTCAGTCGTCGTGGGTGGGGCCCCCGTTGTCCCATATTTGCTTTGAAGGTGTGGAAAGAATTTAGCCGATCTATGAAAGGGTATTGACTGAGATTTGTGCTCTTTCGTTAGGGTGGATTTCTATTTGCTGGCTCACTCTGTCCGACAAGGCTGCGGCATCCCCACTCATTATGTCTGCGTAAGAAATACGGCTAACCTCAGTCCTGATCATATGCAGAGGTGGGTTTATTTTACATGGTATGCGTATTTGTCATCTTCATGGTTCTGTTTGCTGCTGCTTTATTTTTGTATGTTAGTTGCTTTGGCATGAGAAAAAGTGTTTTTCTTCGTGTACAATGGAAGTGAGGGGTTTTGCTCTTTCCGGGATGCTACACCGTCTCTCAAACAGCAAGGTAATCGTTTTGATAAAAGATTTTAGTGCCTTGGGATTTGGGGTCACTGGTTCCCTTAGAAAGAGGGCTTTTGAGGATCTGATGTATGATTGCACTGCCTCACTTCCTCTATGGCCATCTCTTTGAAAAACCCTTTACAGTGGTGCCCTGCTTGACGACGATAATACGTTCCAACAAAATCGCTGTACAGCGAAATCGTCATCAAGTGGAAAAAAAAACTCATTGGAATGCATTGAAAACGGGTCAGTGCATTCCAATGGGGGAAAATACCTGATCATCCTGTGAAGATCCTCCATAGGGCGGCCATTTTCCGATGCCTGTAAAACGAAAACAGGTCAACAAAACAGCGGGACGCCATTTTGCGAACCGCCGATCAGCTGTTTTTAGATCATCGTTAAACGAAAAATCGGGAAGCAGGGAACTGCTTCCCGCCTAGAGTGGTCCTATGTGATTCAGATAGGCGGGATATAAATTAAATAAATAAATAAATAAATAAATAAATAAACTGATCATCGTGAAGCGAAAAAACCCCATTGAATCATCATTTTGCTCATCCATCATATCACTACTCTGAGCAGTTCACAACAAAAATAAACAAAGACTCATAGAATAATGGAGCTGGAAAGGGTATAGAAGGCCATCAAGTCCAATCCCCTGCTTCCCCACTGAATCATCATTTTGCTCATCCAGCATATCACTACTCTGAGCAGTTCACAACAAAAATAAACAAAGACTCATAGAATAAGGGAGTTGGAAAGGGTATAGAAAGCCATCAAGTCCAATCCCCTGCTCAGTGCAGGATACAAATCAAAGCAGATCTGACAGATGATTGCCTGACTTTCTCTTTAAGGCCTCCAGCGTTGGATTACACACCACCTCCCACCTCCTGAGGTCATGTGTTCCGATGTCATATTGCTGTAACAGTTAAGAATTTTTTCCTGATATTTAGCCTAAATTATACAGCTTCTATAAACATTAGACTTTCCTACACATAAGCACATGTAACTGAAAATAACAGTGTCTCGAGGATGGACAAAGCACTCTCAAAAGATCTTTTTCCTTTTCCTTTTTTTTCCCCCTCCCATTTTGAGTAGGCTGACTTTCAAGCTCTGTCACATGTACTGGAACTGGCCGGGAACGATCCGAGTGCCGGCCCCCTGCAAGTACGCTCACAAGCTGGCCTTTCTCGCGGGGCAGGTTCTGCACCACGAGCCGGCGATGGAGCTCTGCGAGAAGCTCTTCTTCTTGTAACTCGTCCAGGTAAGAGGCTTCAAGGGAGCAGAACAAAGGCCGCTCAGTCTCAAGGCAGGAAAGGAAGAAGGAAGCGTTCCAGCGCCCGCGGTCGGGTCAGCCGCATCGGCAGCCTCGGAATCGCTGTGGCAGATTCTGGGGAGGGGGGCTTTCATGATCTTAAGCGGGTCTCTTCGGAAAAGAATGCCCAAATAACACCTCAAAATTCCACATTTTATCATAAAGAAGAAATAATAACCTTTTTTAAAGTAGTATCTAGACACTGGCAACGTCTCGGCCTTGTGAAAACGGAACCGTCCAGGCAGGGTTGAGATGGGCTTCTGTTTTTCTCTTAGGTTGTTGCCTCTCCCCGTATTCAGCAACAAAGCAGAGTAATAATTTCAGTTGAAACGATGGATTCGAAATGGCATTCCCATCTTTTAAAAAAACCCAACCCTGAAAGAAGTGCCTAACATTTTTTTTAAAACTTAGGATTATTTAACTTTCTTATGGTTCTACACTTTTATACCATCATGCTCTTGAAAGCAACTGGGTTTTTTTTGGGGAGGGGGGTTGATTTTCAGGTCAAGGTTTGTTGTTCTGTTTCAGGTCAAGATTTTAACAGATCGGGGATAAGAAGAAAATGTCCCTCCCTCCTCCTGTGGCTTAACTAACTTTGGGTTGCTTGTCGGTATGTTTTGAGGGGGTAGCCAAAGCGCAGGAATCCAGATCAAAGTGTGGCCCTCGAGCCCATGTGCCTCGTCCCACTTTGCTGGCTCCGGCTGATGGGAGTTCCAGTCCAACAACATTTGGAGGACTGCACTTTTGTCCTCCCTTGCAGACATTCAGCCCAGTCCTCGTCTGCCATTTTTGCAAATTGCTCTGCACTGGGTATATCAGTGGTGGTGTTTGACATACGGCGAAGTCTTTGCTCTGAGCCATGGCTCTGGCCAGATTTCTTTCCAAGATCCAGAATATCTCATCTCTTTCCGTGGGACAGGCAGGGCTGCAGCAGGCTTACAGCACTGATTGACCATACCATAAACATTCAAATGCATAAATATTGACTGGATGATATTTCTAGGAACTGGCCGTTGCCATTGTTACAGCAGGTGGCAGGATAGTGCCAAAAATGTCAGTAAGGCACTGGTTATGGGGGCGAACTTTTAGCGTAATCAGGCTGTTTACAGGCAAGCCAAGGTTTTTCCCTTTCCTGACTGCTTGGCAGCCGTCCAACTGGCTCCCTCTAGTTAACCCAAGGCAAGTGCTCGGTGAAAGAGGAGACCTGCTTTCATTGAGGGATGTGAAACTGTCTCTAGCTCCAGAAATAGGGTTTAAGCTACCTGCTGTGCCTAATAAACATTCTCTCCGTGCATGCATTGGGTGGGTGAATGCTTAGGGTTGACATCAGAGCAGGAGGGTCCTCCCTCCAAATCCAGACAGAACACAAAAAGAATCACCCCCTGTACCTTGTTGGCCTGCATTATGACTGCTGGCAAGAGTGAGGTTATTATGTTCCCCAGCTCTTTTTTTGAGCCAGGGGCGGGGGGAGAGAATCCCAGTGATTCTGCTCAGAATTACCAGGATATAGAAGTCTCTAAACTCTTGTCTGGTTTGACTCAGAGCGGTGTGCGCATGTGTGATCAACTACTGTATTTCTTTTCCAAATCCTGACACACAAAAGGGCATTCGGGTCTTTTTCCCCCCCACTCCGACAGCTCGTGTGCTGTGATATTAGCACTCAAAATACTTCCCTGCCAAAAGACTGCTACCCAGAATGAAAGTTAGTCTAGTTCATTTTACATCTTTTTTTTCTTTTTCTTTTTTTCTTGGACTGGGCCAGTACAGTGGGGTCTTGACTTGAGAACTTAATCCGTATTGGAAGGCAGTTCTCCGACAGCTTGTGTGCTGTGATATAGCACTCAAAATACTTCCCTGCCAAAGGACTGCTACCCAGAATGAAAGTTAGTCTAGTTCATTTTACATCTTTTTTTTTTTGACTGGGCCAGTACTTCAGGTGTTTCTGTAACAGTGGCAAACTTAAAAAAACAAATGAACAGGGAGTGCTGTGCTTATCGAAGGTAAAATGTTAAACCCAGGTTTATAACATTTCCTGGATAAGAATTTATTTCTCCAATTTCCTTGATGCTGGTATCTAGAATTTAAAAAAAATCACACGGTTAGGTTTAATGGAAAAGTTAATAATTCACCTTCTCTGCCAACATTGATCTTCCCATATGCCACTGATAGTGCCTTACTTATCCTGCTTTTGTTTCCCAGTCCTGCCACAACCTGTTTGGACTTTGGGCAGGCTTAACCAAAATATTTTATGGAGAAGATACCTATATAGTTCAGGTGAGGGAGTAAGGAAGGTTTATCTTTTTTTTCCCTTTTCCAGAAGTAACAGAGTTGGCTCTACTAAAATCTAAGTATGTAAGTCAAGTCAATATTTTCCTATGAGAGTGGTTCTTAAGTCAAAATGTTCTTAACTCAAGCCGTTCTTAAGTCAAGACCCCACTGTACTTCAGGTGTTTCTGTAACAGTGGCAGACTTAAAAAAACAAATGAACAGGGAGTGCTGTGCTTATCGAAGGTAAAATGTTAAACCCAGGTTTATAACATTTCCTGGATAAGAATTTATTTCTCCAATTTCCTTGATGCTGGTATCTAGAATAAAAAAAAAAATCACACGGTTAGGTTTAATGGAAAAGTTAATAATTCACCTTCTCTGCCAACATTGATCTTCCCATATGCCACTGATAGTGCCTTACTTATCCTGCTTTTGTTTCCCAGTCCTGCCACAACCTGTTTGGACTTTGGGCAGGCTTAACCAAAATATTTTATGGAGAAGATACCTATATAGTTCAAGTGAGGGAGTAAGGAAGGTTTATCTTCTTTTTTTTTCTTTCCTTTTTCCTTTTCCAGAAGTAACAGAGTTGGCTCTGAATCGGCTGCAAGCCATGAGTGGTGCAGATCCTACATGAGAAGGAATTTGCTTCCTCAAAAGAGCGCCTCTTTTTTTTCCCTTTTTTTCTTTTGCCTGTATTATGCTGTCCTTGTCTGTTTGTGAATAAAGTTCGTGTTATAAAGTTGCCAAGTCTCCAGTGCTCACAGTCAGAAGAAACTAAATCCAGTGGCTTTGCCCTTAGATTCTCAGAGCCTGAGGAAAGGGAGAGCAAATAACACAAGGGCCTCTGGCAGGCCTTCCAGGTAGAAGGCACTGAAAGGGTGGTTTTTGTCGTGGTGGTGGTTCTTTTGTGTGCGTTTTTGGCTGTAGGAAGTTTTGGGATTCATCGTAATGAATTGAATTCAGCTTTACTGGTTTTCAGTGTAGTCAGCCTTTAGATAATAGTAGAATTTCGGAAACTACCAGATGTAGCTTGCGGAGTCTTCTGTTGCCCTTTGGAACCAGTTTGTGTGTGTGTGTATGTTTTCAGGAGTGAGGCGGAGGTGGAAAATTGCCAGTCTTCCTGCTATTTATCAGAAGCTCTCCTTCTGAAACTTTGCCAACATGAACTGGACAAAAGTTTTGCTTTTTTTTTCTTTTTAGTTTGCAAGGACAGTGAAAGAGATCTTCCCGATGAGTTCTGCCTTCCCGATTGGCGTGGCTGCCTTTATTGGTCTCCAGAACCAGCCGTCTCAAAGACAACCTTTTCTCTTTACTTCATGGGCCAGAATTGAAGGCATTTGGTTTATAGGCACAGAAATCTGGACTTCATCTCTGTGTCTCCAGCTTCTGTACCAGTGTCGGGAAAGGCAGACGGTGATTGGGTTCTGGTTCTAAACTGAGCCCGTTACTCTTCTTTGACGGGATTAATCACAGGAGACATAATCCTGTTAACAGGATTTTTGCTTTTGGGGGGTGGGGGGGGGCTCTGTTATACCGCCCACGATTGAAGACTTGGACCACCTTGTAGGAAGTCCATTCAACAATCCATTGTCCTTTAATATGGAGACACTCCAAACCTCTTGCGGGCCGTAGGCTTTCTCAGAGGGTTGCTCCTCGCCACGATCTACAGCATGGGTGTCGAGCTCATTCTCCCTCGCGCAGTGTTTGAGTCGCAGGAATAGTGTCAGATCACACCACCCTCTTCCAGGGACTCTTCTCCCTCATACATACACGGTCCATTCTAAAGGATCTGTTTTCCCCAACTGTATCTCTAACCCTGGATTTCCTCATCCCTGCACATATCCACTTCCTCTCTGTCTCTCTTTTCCTCGTCTCTGAGGAAAAGAGAACACATACGGTTTTTCTTCCTTTTCTGGTCCCATGCTACTCTCCTTTCTCCGGACTAATCCATTCTTCCAAACGCCAGTTTCTCCCTTTTCCTGTCTCCCCCTCTCATGTCATCAAGAAGCCTCCTGTCACCGCTCCTCTCTTTCCTGCCTTTTCTGCTCCCTCTCTTCCGTCTGCCCTCCCCCTATTGTCAAGCCCTCCATCCTCGTGAGTAGGGTGGATAAAAGGGTGCTGATTCCTTCTGCCCCAGATGATCAGCTCACTTTCAGTTAATGGGTTCCTCTTCACACAGACCTTCATGTTTAAAGAGCTGCTGTCGGAGAGAACAGGAACGGTGGTGTGAGCTACCTGCAGGTAACTGCCACTTCACTCCAGTACTAAAAAACCTCACATAGTTCCTGGAAATTCCTTTTTTTTAACCCCAAAGGTTTGGACATGTCCCAGCCTTGATACTTCATATTCCAGTCACAACCAACAACCAGTATTCCCCTTATATGTCTGATAGTTGCATGACACTGTATTGCAAATCTTGATATGTTTCCCACACGCCAGCAAATGAGATCCTTCAAATGATGTCAGCAAATTTGGCATTCCTGTGAAGCTCTTGCTACATTCGCTTGTTTTGCTCATGTGTTGTCTGAACTTGGGAGACAGGAGCAAGGATGGATGTTTTATCTCCACGAACACCTAGCAGCCTCAGGCCTTTGTGCATCATCAGGAAAGTTTGAAGGAGCCACCACTGTCTGAACACGCTTATCCTCTATAGCAGTGGCCCCAACCTTGGGCCTCCAGATGCTCTTTGACTACAACTCCCAGAAGCCTTCACCACCTCTGCCGGCCAGGATTTCTGGGAGTTGAAGTCCAAGAACATCTGGAGGCTCAAGGTTGGGGACCACTGCTCTATAGGCAAACAAGATTGAAACTGTCTTTCCATTGAATCCTTGAAGATTCCCCCTGCTGACCATCCTTCTCAACGAGCGACACGGGACAGGGGTGTATGCTGCGCTTTGTTCCTGTCTTCAGATATTCTGACAATGCAAGAAGCAAATGACTGTCTAAGGTTTCCATTTTTAACCCTGCAACAAGATGCAGTCGTTAACTACAGTATACTACCAAAATACTACGCGCTATGATATTCCCAGTTCCTGTCCGTGGATATGGGGCCTGACAGGAAGACAAACATCAACGGGATACAGCGGGACCCTGGAAGGACCCATAAATGGGCTCAAGAAGAAAACAATCCTGAACTCTCCACAGAAGTGAAGATGACTAGACTTGAGCTATCCTACGTTGGGCACATCCTGAGAAGATACAACTCACTGGAAGAGAGAATAACGTTCATAAAAGTAGAAAAGAGAAAGACTCCACATGAGATGAATTGACTCGATGAAGGGAGCAAGATCTGAGCAGAACCAAATATGAGTGATAGGAGGCCATTACTGTAGTTCACAGGGTTGCCATAAGGTGCAAACAATTCCAAAGGCCTACAACACTCAGTAGGATTAAAATAACATTTTGCGCTGAGTGAGCAACGGATTCGCTCTGGTTAGTTAGGGTGAGGTTGGGTGCAAATACAGTCTGTGTACTGATATTTCCTGAACCTGTTCAAAATGCCATTGTCCCTTCGGAATAGGTCCAGCCTGGCAACCAGAGTACTTCACTTCTCAACATCAGACTCCTCAGAGAAATAGCATGGGAATCTTTTTTCCACTCCAAAACTACATTGGGGGTGGGGGAGAGAAATAACCCACTGGCAAAATACGCTAAATTGGTTGGCATTGTGTTTATTATCCCAGTGATCCTTATCTGTTAAAGAAGAGGAAGAACTGTATGGCAAATGGCAACGTGGAGAAAATGTAGGGACATCATCTGCAACTCTGTGTGGGTGACTGTGCAGCTCTAGTTTGGGGTGAATTCAGCAACAAAAGATGACCCTCTGAGACTCAAATGTCCTGTATAGATAACTTGAGGATCAAGTGAAGACTGATGCCCCTACTATGGGTGGTACGATATGGTCTAGTTGAAGTAGGAATCATTGAATTGGACAAGGGTCGCCAATGGGTTGAGTCTAGTCTCTGAAGCAGCTGGGATCTGGCCTTCTGTGCCCTGGCCAAACATCTAATCAATAAGAAACATAGCTTTGGTTCGGAACGACAAAAGGAAAGAAGCAATGCAGCCCCGGGTATGTTTCATAGAACTATGTTCTCTAGGTTTCGTTGAAGAATAGCTCCGTGGTTTATGTATCTGGCTATGGAGCCAGAGGCTGGGATACTGCTGTGCCTCCCGGGAGAAGAGCCAGCCTGGGTGGCCTTGGGCAAGCTGCACAGTCCCAGGGCGCCCCCAGTGGAAGGGAAGGGGAAAACACTTCTGAGCATTCTCTGCCTAGAAAAGCCTGGAAAAGGGTTGTCATAAATCAGATTTAACTTGGCAGCTCATGCTTGTTTCGAGAGTCTGACTGCATTGCTAGCAACTGGAATCCCTGCTGTCCCCCCCTCCTGAACATCACCCCAAATACATCTGCCTGGCGGGGGCCATGTGCTATGCCATGTCCGTGGCCTTCATCAAGCAGCAGGGCCCTTGAATACCACCAGAAGAAGAAGAGGCTGGTAAGATCCCAAAGGAGAGAGCAGCTTGATGGCACATAATTATTACACGCTTATACAGATGTGTGCTTTGTCAGCTCATCTCCCCTCTCCCTCTCAGTATCTCTGTCCATTAAAACCCTGAAGGCAGTGGCTGTGATATCTTGCTGTCCAGATCTCCCCCTGCTCAGCTTCACGGCATGAGGCCGCCCTCTAATATTCTGGTGAAATTAAATAAAGGTAAAGGTTCCCCTTGACAATTTTTGTCCAGTCGTGTCTGACTCTAGGGAGCAGTGCTCATCCCCGTTTCCAAGCCATAGAGCCAGCATTTTGTCCGAAGACAATCTTCCGTGGACACATGGCCAGTGCGACTTAGACACGGAACGCTGTTACCTTCCCACCGAGGTGGTCCCTATTGATCTACTTGCATTTGCATGCTTTCGAACCGCTAGGTTGGCAGGAGCTGGGACAAGTGATGGGCACTCACTCCGTCACGTGGATTCGATCTTACGACTGCTCCTGCAGTTTAGCCCAAAGCGCCACCACGTCCCTGGAAATTAAATAAAGAGAGCTCTTTTTCCCACCCTATTAACCTCTATCTTTACCAGGGATAGGCACTCAAGTTGTAGGGCTCATTGTCAATGTGGACTTATCACACCAGGGACTGCCCAGTTCCTCCCCTCCCCCAATGACTGGGACTCAGCTCACAACTGGGAACCCACCCTATTTTTTTTTCTTGAGGGGAAACCCCTTGTTTTTTTCAAAGGGACTCAGACTTGGGACTTGATACACTACTTCAAAAACTCGGACTCGGACCCAAACACTTGCTGATATCCCTGATTCTTACCATTTTAACGCCTTATTTCTAAACTTAAAAAGGCCTACATTTTCTAAGCTTTCCCAGAGGAGGTGTGCTCCATCCCTAAAATCATTTGGGTTGCCCTTTTCCACACCCTTTTCAGCCTTGGTTTTTTTTTCAAGTGCAGAAACGAAGAGCCTCACAGAGTGTGTCTTGTACGGCCAGTCGTCTCCTGCTTTGCTCTGAATTCTAGAGCGTAATTAACGGTTGATGGTGGAGTCCAGCCAGCGGCTCTTTCCATATGAGTCACTGTTCTGACCTGAAAGGTACATTCAGAGCATCGAATCACAGAGTGATACAAAAAAAGGCTCCTTCTGTCATGTGTGATGGGGGGGCATGGGATGCTTTTAAGTATTTAATTAGTTGTCTGTTCAAACA